TAGGGGCAGGAGCTGCCAAGCGCGGGGGGGCCGGGCTGGCCCGAGCTCCGGGCCCCGCTCCCGGCCCGGCCCCCGCCCCGCCCGCCCCGGCACCGATAAAAGGCGGCGGCGGCGGCCCCGGGCAGCGGCTGCAGCGGAGCGGCTGCGACAGCGACAGCAGCAACACCGCAACACCGCAGCGCTCCCTGCACTGCTCCCTGCACTGCTCAGCCCTGCAGCAACACCGCAGCAACACCGCAGCGCTCCCTGCACTGCTCCCTGCACTGCTCAGCCCTGCAGCAACACCGCAGCAACACCGCAGCAACACCGCAGCGCTCCCTGCACTGCACAGCCCCGCAGCAACGCCGGTAAGGGCTGAGAGGGGCTGCGGGACGGGACGGGACGGGACGGGACGGGACGGGACGGGACGGGACGGGACGGGACGGGACGGGACGGGACGCTGCTCAAACCGCGTGGGAGCAGCGATGTGTGCCCCGCACCGCAGCCCGGGGAGGGTGGCTCGGTCCCGGGGAGGGTGGCTCGGTCCCGGGGAGGGTGGCTCGGTCCCGGGGAGGGTGGCCGGCTCCTGGGGCACCTCGGGGACAGGATGGGTGCTTTTTCCTGAGGCAAACCTTTAGCAAAAATCCCGGATCCCCATTTAAAGCACAGCTGCGGGTCTGCAGGGGGCTCAGGGAGCCCGGAGAGCTCCGCCACCACAGCAGCTGGATTTAACTCGTGTCCCTCTCTCCTCTCTTCCAGAAGTGACATCTAAACCCGCTGCCGCAGAACCCAGATGGAAACCGTGCACGAGCTGATCCCCTTCGCCAAAGAAATGCTCAGCCAGAAGCCCAACAGGAAGATGGTCAAGCTGTACATGCTGGGCAGCGTGCTGGCCTTCTTCGGGGTGGTCATCGGGCTGGTGGAGACCGTGTGCAGCCCCTTCAGCTCCGCGGCCAGCCTGGACGACGAGCAGGACAAGGAGAAGCCGGCGGCGCCCCGGGAGCAGCCGGTGCCGCAGAAAAGGGAGGATTTGGTGCCGGACAAGGGCAAGGCGGCCCTGCCGGGGCTGCAGAGGGCCCTGGTGACCCGGCAGCACGCGTCCTAGGCCGGCCCCCACCGCACAGAGACCCCGCTCGCCCCGGGGGTTCCAGCACGAAGAGAAGGCTCGGCTCAAGGAGACTGCCACAAGTGAAGGGTTTTATTTGCTGCTGTGCAGCAGTGGGGAAAAATACCTTTTGTTGGTATGAACCTGTGCAGGACGCACAGCACGGTTTCTTTTATTTTTCTTACGGACGCATTTTACACCGTTTTGCAAGATCAATAAATATTTTATATGGTACCAGTGCTCTCTCTTGCTGCTTTTATTTTCCAAACCTTCTCGTGCTGCTCTGCTGAGGGTTTGCTCGCGGCTCTGGCTCCTTTTGCGGGGCAGGGGGGACGCAGGGGACAGAGGAGGAGGGGGCTGCCCCTCCCCAAAAACCCCACGGAGGCTGCTCTGCCCTGCCCTGCCTGTCCCTCTGCTCCTTCCCAAGGGGGGGAGGAGGTGGCACTTGTCACACGGAGGTGGCATTTGTGTCACACGGGTGCCACATGCCCCAGCTGGAGGTGGGGCTGTGCTTCAGGGGTTATGTGGGTTCAATGGCACAGATTTATCTCTGCCACGGCCACGTGTGCACAGAACTGGTTTAAAATAAATCTAAACCCCATTCTCGCCCTGGCAGTCCTCCAGCAGGCTCCAGCTGCTGCACAGCTAAAAATCCCAAAACCAAAAGCCTCCCACCTTTCCTGGGGTGCTTCACAAAGGCACCACGGACACCTGAGCGTGCAGAGTGACACTGGATTCCAGAGTCACAGGGTGTCACATGGAAAAAGCCAGAGATAGCCCAGGCAGGCTGCAGGCTGAGGAGACTGCTCCAGGCTTCAGGATCCGCTGCCAGGATCATTAGAGGACTTTCACCTATTTAAAAAATGTTCTGGGGCTTAGCAAGAATCTGTTGCATTTGGGACTGAGTCGTGTCAGTCAAACAAAGTCTGCAGCCAGCCACGGCTGAGATCCCAACGCGCTCCAGAGGGGAGGCAGCAAACCCGCCCCGCCAGCCCTGAGCAGGCAGAAAATCCTCTTTATCTGCTCAGAGGCAGCGCAGGGCAGGAGGAGCGGCAGTCACACCTCAGCGGCGCTGCGGGATGCAGCAGCAGCGTGCCACCCTCTAAAGGCAAAACAACTGAGCCAAACACTGGATCATGGAAAATTCACAAGCCCTGCCAGACCCCAGTGCCCAATGCCAGCTCCTCCCAGAGCTGCACAACGTAAGATCAGGACCTGAAAATATCAGAATAGGCTGAAGTTCACTATTTCATTTTCATAATACACAACCCACAGTTCATTTTGTTGACAATTATTTCTGTTACCAAAACAAACCCAGCAGCACAGAGTGGAGAAAGAATCCCACCCAGTATCTGCACAAAAACTCTGCTCAAGCTTTCAAATTTCAAGTACTTTTTCCTCAATCAAAATTAGAGTTCAATTTAAAATAATGTTTGAGAAATACTTCATTTAGTCCGTAACAAACCCTTTGGTCTCTGACAAGGCTGCTGAGACAAGCTTGAGGTGGTTTTTTGGAGGAAGGAAAAACATAAGTTTTTTAAGAGAAAAAGCAGAAATGGAAGGAGGGATGGGAAAACACAAGGAGAAATGGAAGGAGAAGGAAATGGAATGAGGAATGGAAAGAGGAGATAAAAAATAATTTTAAAAATTTTTTTTTTAATTGCTCCTCCCTGATACCGATGGAAGTTTCATGGGAAAACAGAATTCAGCCTGAAGGGAGCCACAGCTGAGGAAGTCCGGCGCTGCCCATCCCAGCTTTAACGAGGTGTGACATTCGCAGCAGGCAGGGAAGGCTGGCTGGGCTGGCATCCCCCGTGGCACCCCGGGGGCTGCGGCAGGGATGGGGGCGCTGCCAGAGCCGGCTCGGGCGGATCAAAGCGAGGGGAGAGCGACCGGCAGGGCTGGGTTAAGAATCTCCGTGTCCCGGAGCAGCGCTCCTCCGGGTGTGCCAGCCTGCCCCCGGGAAAGGGGCACTGCGAGAGGGGGAGAGGGCACCCACAGCACCCCACAGCACCCCACAGCACCCCACAGCA